TGGTGCATTGTCGTGATGCAAGAGCCATGAATTGTTGGCAAAAAGTTCAGATTGTTTTCATCTAACTTTGTCATGCAGCCTTTTCAGCACTTCCAAATAGTAAACTTGGTTCACTGTTTGTCCAGTTGGTACAAATTCATAATGAATAATCCCTCTGATATCAAAAAGTTATCAAAATCATTGCAACAAGTTCATGAACTTAACTGTCAGACCTCGTATATACAGTGGAATATTGCTCAGCCATAAGAAAAGATGAAATACTGCCATTGTGACAACATGGATGGATCTTGAGGTTATTATGCTAAGTACAATAAGTCAGACAGAAAAAGTCAAGAGCCATATGATTTCACTCATAAAACTGAAAGCAAACAAACAAGACAAACAAAAACTCATAGACACAGACAACAGTTTGGTGGTTACCTGAGGGTAAGGGGGGAGAGGGGTGGTAGAAGAGGGTAAAGGGGTCAAATATATGGTGATGGAAGGAGGTTTGACTTTGGGTGGTGAACATATAATGCAATATACGAGTACAGATGATGTATTATGTAGCATAGAATTGTGCACTTGAAACATAATTTTATTAACCAATGTCACCACAATAAATGTAATAAAAAACAAAAATGTAATTGAAGTGTAATTTAAAATGAATGTGTATGTAAAAATAAATATAATTTCCCATAACTATGCATATAACAATTGCCTTATTTTATTGGGTATCATAAATGCGCATTTTGAATGCTTATATGAAATGCCCCTGTAAGTCATGCAGAATTTTATTTTTCTGAAGGACAGTGAAATGGGGTTGAATATATTAAAGTATCACGTATATATATATATATTTTTAATTTTGTTGGGGAATTGGCAGAGGGGAACAGCGTGGGGAATTGGAGGAAGGGGAACAGACAAATTGCTGTTGTTTTGTTCTTCAGTCTAGTTGTGGAGGACGTTGCTTCACTGGCCCAAGTTGGCATCATCATTGAGCTCTTCCCGGGAGAGGCAGATCAGTCGCCAGCCTCTGGACGGCCGCTCACGGTGGCTGCTGGTCATCACGCTGGCTGCCGGCTACACACGGTAGCCCATGGCAGCCCACTGCAGCAGGGGACTGCAGCCTATGCCATTGCCAGTGACCCATGGCAGCTCAGCCCCAGGTCGAGCTGCCCGTTCACCATCTTAGCTGCAGAGGGCAGTGTCACTGGCCCTCATGTGGGATCCGAACCAGGGCCGTCTGGCATCCCAAGCCAGTTCTTAACTGACGTGCCACTCGGCTGGCCCCAGTATCATGTATATTTAACTTAAGTGACTTTAGAACAAAATTATTATTTCTTTGGAATGTTCCTTGGAATGAATTATGGCCAAATTTATCTTAATTTTTTCATATTGTTTTGTCACCTCTTTTTTTCATACAAGTAAGGGTCCCCCGGGTTTATATTATCAGGTCAGTTGGAGTTTTATTTGCCTTTAGTTTGAGTGACAAAGACTGATAGTGCAGAGACTGGACTTTGATATGCTTGCTGCTGTCCAACAGCGGAGTGCCTGGGGTATCCACTTGTAGTAATGGCTGTAAGTAGTGGTATCATTGTTACCATATTTAAACACCCATGGTTGGCTGAATATAACATAGTTAATTATGTCACTGTCCCTGCTCAGGGCACCTGCTACTAAAAGGACACACTCACATGATGAGGAAGATGGAAGATGTGGTGTTTTTGGAGCTAAATGTTACTTCATGGAGATGTTAAGGATGTTGACCTTGTTTTCTAAAGAGCATCTAATAGTTTTCATCTTGTATATTAACTTCCCACATGGTTTTTTATTACAATTTTATGCTTATTGTTGTATCTCTTTTTAGTTTTCCTCACGGGAGAAAAAGCCAATTCAGTATTAAAACGCTACCCAAGAGCTAATGGACTTTTTGAAGAAATAAGACAGGGCAACATTGAGCGTGAATGCAAAGAAGAAGTCTGCACATTTGAAGAAGCAAGAGAAGCTTTTGAAAATAATGAAAAAACTGTAAGTACATTGGCAATTTAAAATTTTTTTCAGATTTGCCTACCTTTTGGATGTATGTTTGTCATCTGCATTCCCAAATGGCGTGCATTGCTAGCAATTAAAAATTACCCTTGTGAAGAACTCTGAAAGTGGCATCTAACTAAGAATGCTCTGTGGGTAGGAGAGCTAGGTTCGTGTACCTATATGTTGGTCTGTCTTTGCAGGTCCCATTTCCACAGGACTCTGCTGAGCTGAGATTTATCATCTTAGCAAGGGGAAGCATTTGTTTCACAGGAGGCTTTGCTTGGGAAAGTTATAGATGGCATCATCCCTGTACTCTGCCTAATCAGACAGAAAGTGTGGAGGAAGCTAATAGATGCTGACAATGTTTTAAAATGTTTTGCTTCTCATACAAAAGAAAAGACATACCTGAACTGCCCTCCCAACTCCATGAGAATGGTCCCCTTCACCTCTCTTTACTATAGTCAGCATGCTATTCAAGGAGAGCAGGGATGGGAAAGCACAAGGCAGTGGTGTAAATTCTGTGGAACTGCTCTGCGGTTGTAAATTACATTACCAGAGGTAGCCATTATATACAGATCCACTCCTGTGCACCATGAAAATGACATTAGGTGCTAAACAAGGGATGTCAGAAGTGCTGGAGGCACCTCAAATACATCTCAGAAGCAGCTGAGGCAGTTTTAAAGAAAGGGTGTTTGATTTCTTGTTAGGTTGGTAGTGACCAGAGGTAAGAGGAAAGAGCTGAAGGTTTAAGAGCTCCAGATTTTCTACATTTCCTAGGTTGATTCTTAAGTATTGCTCTCTTGCTATTATAAATGGGGTGTTCTTTTCCATGATATATTCTAAGTTGTTACTATTTGTATATGTGTAAGCTATTGATTTTTTAAACCTTATTAAGCTATAATTGACATACCATTAAACATGCATATTTCAAGTATACAGTTTGGTAAGTTTTGACATATACTGAGGGTGCCAAAAAATGTATACACAGTCTATGAAACCATCACCACAATCAAGATAATAAAGAAATTTATCATCCCCAAAAGTTACTTCTTGACCCATATGATTCCTCCTTCTCACCTCTCCCCACAAACACTTTACCAGGCAATGATCAACCTGATTTCTGTCCCTATAGATTAGCCTATATTTTCTAGAATTTTCTATAAATGAGGTAATACATGATGCACTCTCTTTTGTCTGGCTTCTTGCACTCAGCATAACTATGTTCAGATGTATTCATATTGAATGTACCGATAGTTCATTAATTTTTATTGATGAGTATGTGTCATTGTATGTATATGGACATTGGGATTGTTTCCAATTTGGGGCTATTACAATAAAGCTGCTATGAACACTTATGTACTAGGCTATTGATTTTTTAAATTAAAGAACTATATATTTATTTTGATTTGAGTTCTAAGAAATCCCATGGTCAAAGTTATACTTTCAAGGATGCATTATGTGTTTTTAAACTTTTTATTTTGAGATAATTATAGATTAACAGAAAATTGCAAAGATAATGTGCAGAGGTTCCTTGTAGCCTTTACCCGGTTTCCCCAACTGGTTACATCTTACATAATTTACTACAATATCAAAACCAGGAAACTGACATTGGTACAATCTGTGTGTATAGTTCTATGCAATTTTATCACTTGTGTGGATTCCTGTAACTACCACTACAATTAAGATGCAGAATTCTTTCATTACCACAAAATTCTTTCTTATTAGTTCACCCCTTCTTCCCCTGCCACCATCCCTAACCTCTGGTAATCACTAATCTGTTCCCCACCTCTATAATTCTGTCATTGCAAGAATGTTATATAAATGGAATCATACAATACGGAACCTTTTGATATTGGCTTTTTACACTGAGCATAATGCTCTTGAGATTCATCTAAGTTGTTGTGTATATCAGTAGTTCATTCCTTTTTATTACTGAGTAGTATTCCATGGTATGGATGTACTACAGTTTGTTGAACCATTCACTCCTTGAGGGACATCTGGGCTTTTTCTAATTTGGGGCTATTACAAATAAAGTTGCTATGAATATTTGTGTACAGGTTTTTGTGTGGACATAAGTTTTTACTTTTCTGGGGTAAATTCCCCAGGAATATAATTGTTGGGTTGTATAATAAGTATATGTGTAGTTCTTTAGGACACTGACAAACTAATTTGTCATTGTACAAATTACCATTTTACATTCCTGCCAGCAGTGTTTGAGTGATCCAGTTTCTCTGCATATTCGTGCAACACCAAGTGTTGTTACTATGTTTTATTTTAGTCATTCTGATAGGTATGTAGCAATATCATATAGTGGTTTTAATTTCCATTTCCTTAATGGCTAATGATGTCGAACAACTTTTCATGTGTTTATTTTACAATTATATATTCTCTTCCGTGAAACCTCCCTTCATGTCTTTTGCTTACTTTCTTTTTTTACATTTCTTTAAATTTGAGATATAATTGGCATACATTGTATTTGTTTCAGGTGTACAGCATAATGATTAAGTATACGTATATGTTCTGAAATGATTGTCTCAGTAAGTTCAGTTAACATCCATCTCCACACAGTTACATTTATTTTCTTTTTTTGATGAGAACTTTTAAGATCTACTCTCTTAGCAACTTTCAAATATACAATACAGTATTGTTAAGTGTAGCCACCATGCTGTACTTATTTTATAACTGAAAGTTTGTACTTTTTGACCCCCTCATCCTTTTTGCCAACTCCCACCCCTCACCTCTGGCAACCACTCTTGATTATTTTCTAATTGGATTGTTTAGGGTTTTTTATTATTGAGTTTTGAGAGTTCTTTCTGTTCTAGATACACATCCATTGTCATATATGTTTTGTAGGCTGTTGGTTTCTAAGTGTTAATTGTATATCTTACTACCTTACTGGCCTCTTTGATTGCTTGCATTAGTTTCATCATTGACCCTCAAGGTGAACAGTGTTTTCAATGCTTACCTCTCTGGCCTTTATACATCTCAGTGCTTCCATGTCTCCTGTCCTGCCTGCGGAGACAGGATGCTGCATTTCAGCAATCTTTGATGCAGGTAGAAGAACTACTCCTTCAGCAATTGCTCAAGCAATTCTCTATGCTCCCCAGCATCACCTGTTCCTCTCTATAGACTCATTCTCATTAGCCTATAGGCCTTTTAGGAAAAAAAAGTCTTTACTCCACATCCCCCTCCAACCACCACCTCATTTCTTGAAATTCTTCTCTGTTCTCTCTATACTCATTCCCCAGTGAATTTCACTCATGGAGGAGCTTGAAATGCTAATGACTCCCCAAATTTATTTATATTCTGGGGGGCTACCCTGAACGGCAGACCTGTATGACTAACTGCCTACTCAACATCTCATTGAATTGAATACAGTCCTCAAACTAAATAGACAAATTTGGGCCCCTTCCCAAAATATCTGCTCCTACCACAGCAGACCTCAGTAAGTAGTAACTCTGTCCATCTATCGCTTTGCTAAGCCCTAAACCTATTGTCATCTCTGACTTTTTTTTTTCGTATCCCACACCCCATCTCCCAATACTGTTGGTTCTAACATGAAAATATATTGAGGATCTAACCACCTCTTGGCCTCTCTACTTGTTACCACCTTACATCCCAGCCACCATCACTCTGTCATCTGTATGATTTCTTGGCCCCCGTCTCATAGTTGATTCCCAAAACAGCAGGCTAGAGTGATGCTTTCAAGTCTCTTCTCTGTAATGGCTACCCAGCTCCCTCAGTAAAAGTCAAAGTGCCCAGAATCACCCACAAGGAACTATGCTATCAGTCCCCATCCCTCTCCACCCCATACTTCACCATGGTTGCATTTCTTCTTTACCATGCCTCCTATGACACTCCACCCTGTATTCACTTTGCTGTGGCTTGTGGCTCCCGACACACAGCACATGTCCTGCCTCATGGCTTTGACACTTGTTCTTGCCTCTTTCCAAAGGATATAGCTGAGTTCCCTCACCACTCTCAGGTCAAGTTCATTTTCTCAGTAAGGAAGTATCCTACCTTAAATTGCCCCTTCTGTGAATTCCTTTTCTTCCCAGCACTTATCACCAACTGACATCTGTTTGTTGTATTTATTTATTGTTGCTCTCCCGCCAGAGCTGTTAGCTCTATGACAGCAGCCATTTCTCATCTGTTTTGTTCATATCTATGGTCCTTAGCATATAAAATAGTGCTGGCACATAATAGGAATCAAATAAATATATTTGATGAACAAATGAAGGAATGAACAAATGGATAAGCATATTACGAAGTACATTTAATTCATAGGAAGAAGTGATTTAAAACTTTTTCACAAGTTAGCTGATAGATGTGGACTTAATTTAAAAATATTTTTATTATGTTGGTGTTAGGCTTTGGTTTAAAGTCAATCATCTGAGTTTGCTTATGCCATTAAATCCACATCATTTACAATAAAGTGTGCCCAGGGGCTTTTGGTTTCATAAGTGTAATAGAAATGGCGTTCTGATCCTTGATCTAGGTCAGCACAACCAGTTCAGAATAGTGTTTGCTTTATGTTAAGAACGATCTGCCCCGTGTTCAGAAGCATTGAACAACAGTTTCATCTTTGAAGTTCATGATTGATTAATTCTGGCAGTAAAGAAAATGATGGGCTTTGGGGATTTTCTTTCAACTCTTAGACTACTTATTAACTATGTTTTTGTTTACTAAAATTTATCACTCAGAACAGGCTTGCTCATACATTTTTTTCATCATCCCCAAATCTGGACTGTGTGAATTTAGAAATCTGCTTTCAGTGTGATGTGGGGCTTTTCTTGTAATTGTTTACCTAATTTGGAACAGAAGTATACTTATAGCATACAGTGGGATGAAATGTGTTGTACTTTGCAGTTCTCATTTTCACCACATAGAAATGTGGTCAGATTTCAGATATTATCTGCTGAGTGCCTACTATGTTGTATGGGACATACAACAGTAAAGAAGCTGACCCTCCCTCATGGCATTTGCGATCGGGTAGA